GATAAATCATAATATTAAAAATATCTATCTCAGTCTCTCTGTCCAATGATGAAAACCTCCTACAATGCAATGTGAATACAGTGCAAAGAATAACAGGTAACGTTGCACCCTTCTCGAGAGATGCAAGATTTCATGAGATCAAGGATGAAAAGTGATGTTTGGAAAATTTGCCAACGCCATGTATTTGGAAGGATCCAGAAGAGTTAGACCTATTACTATAACAAAATCAACAAGAATGATGACATGATGATTCAAAAAAGAACAAACTGAATGTCAAAGCATTTACTAATGGTTTTGGAGGGGAAATGTTGAAATCTTCACACTTTTGCAAACATTGACCTTAAGTCATTTTTTTCCCCCGAGCACATCATAGAATCCTAACAAATACTTGTTGAATAGGTGAAATAGAATAAATCTTATTTTTCTCACATGACAGCTCATTCTAATTATGTAACAGCATTGCTTAAATATTTATTTTTTGGTTAATCCTCACTGAGGATATTTTTTCCATTGATTTTGAGAATGGAAGGGAGAGGGAAGAGACACACACAGAGAGAAACATTGATCTGGGAGGGACACATTGATTGGTTGCTTCCTGCAGGCACCCCAAATCGGGGTGCAGGATCAAGTCTGCAACCGAGGTTCGTGACCTGGATGGGAATCCAATCAGAGACCCTTCAGTCCAAGGGTGACTCTCTAACCACTGAGCCAAACCAATGAGGGCTATTTAAGCATTTTGCATGTGATCATTTGTTTAATTATTCCATCCTCACAACCTTATGAAACAGAAAATTGAAGTACAGATTGGTTAACTAACTTGCTGAAACATGAACATCTGGCTTCAACCCCTGGCAGTCAGCTGCAGAATCTCCGTGCTTCCTTGTCTCCCCTTTTCCTTGTCTCTACCATGTTCTTCTCCCACCTGCAGGGCACTGGATGAGGGCCAATCCCTGTGTTTGGTGTGCGGGATTGACAGCACCTCCTTGCTAGAGTGAGCTGGACCCTGGAGAGCCAAGCTCAGAGCCTCGGTCCTGCAGCTGCCTGGCAATGGAAGATGGCGATGGAGGGGAGTTCTGCCAAGCTCAACACCCATTGGGCTCCCAACACGTCTCCATTAGCTTCTCTGTGCAAAGAATGGTGGGAGAGAAGAAGGGGTAGGATTCCTGGATTCTGAGAGCGGAGCCTTATGTCAGTGTGACAATACAGAGAAAAGGTATTTTTTTCAGAATATACAATGTCAGTTTCTCCTAGAAATAAATATATCCCGGTTTGTTAATAGGTCTCCTGCCAATGTGGGAGGACTAACCCAAGACTATGGCTGTATGGAATGAAAGTTCTTTGAAAATGGCGGCCTCCAGTGTCATAATCCCAATGGGCTCGGCCATGTCGTTCGCCCAGACAGTCCCAGAAAGAAAATGAACCACCGGATGGAGAGACACCGTAATTCTCCATGATGACCATTGGCAGGCTGTGGCTTCAAACGGTCTAGTGAGCGTGTGCACAGTCCACCCACTTCCGGTTCACAGTTCACCCATTTCCGGTTTGGGGTGAACTGTGCGCATGCTCACTAGAACATTTTTGCTTACGTCACCAACTGCATCTAACCATCGGTTGCTTGAGGGACGCGGAGGTGCTGTGGAAGGTTAGCAGTGGGGATCCGTGCGGTAAGAGGGGGTTTCGAATTGAAGTTGGAAGATTGGCTCGTTAATTTTCATTCCTTGTGTATTTTCTGTATGGATATAAGTATTTTTTTTGTAACAAATTCCAAGTGTACTTTAATGATCAGATTTGATATTGTCCCATAAAACTTGATCATTTGAGGCGCAACTTAAGGGGCCTTAAGTCGATGTTACTTGAGGACATTTGGGGAAGTGAGGCGCTGAAGTAGGCAGTGATTGATGGGGAGCGGGAACCTCTGTGATTGGAGGATTTTGAGGGTCACACTGTGACACACTCCGCTGGGGGGCAGTGATTGGGGACCTAATGAAATGGGTAGAGTGGGGTGCTAAGGGTAGCATATGGGAACCAGTTGACTGCATTGTTCCCTGGCACTGAGTGTTGGGGTCCTTTGGGGATGGATGGTAGGGTCAGTGTTGGTTTCTCCTTGCTGTGCCTGTGGACAGGGTAAGGGTCAGTGATTGGCAGCTGAGCAGAGAGGTGATGGTTTCCCATTGGGGGCGTTATTTGGAATCCTGTGTTGGGAGTTATTTCAGGTCCTGTGGAAACCACACTCTCTGAGACACATTTATTGGCGATCAAGGTACTAATGATTTCAGGAGCCTGTGTCAGTGGCTGGGAGGCATTTCGTGACCTTCTGGTAGTCCTGTGGTCTGCTCATTGGGGGTGTCTGGAGGTCAAAAAGGATGTTTTTGGGGACCCTGTCCTTGTAGGGGACCACACTGGATAGTGGCAAGTTTGTGCAGTTTAGAATGAGGCAGTCACAGGCTTGAGTCCCTTTGAAGACTGAGTGATCTTAAGGCAAATTATGTAACGCAATTCGGTCTCAGGTTCCATATCCACACAATGGGTACCGTAATGATTATAGGGTGGGGGGAGGCAGAGAGGGTATAGGGGGGAGATAAATGGTGATGGAAGGAGACTTGACTTGGGGCGCTGAACACACAATACCGAATTCATGCACAGTTGGGATCTGGCCAGCTGCCCCAATCAGGGCTGATGGGGCCAGGCTGGCTTCCGGGAGGGATGTGGGAGGTTGGCCGTCCAGCCCCACCCAAGATTGAGTGGGAGGGGACATCCTGGGTGAGGTCAGCTGGGGGGAGGGCCCAGGCTGATG